TAATGGACAATTACAGCATCTCTTATTTTTTAAAAATTTCAATCAAAACATATTGAAAATTCTTTCCTGAATCCGAAAATCTGATTGATTTTTTCCTTCAAATGTGTATTTATTTAATTATTAAACATTTAAATTGCCCAAAAAGACCTCTGTAGGTGATACAATCAAAAAAGATTTCTGAGTGATTATGACGTCGCATTTGCTGAATGGAAACATACCTCATCCAGTGTTTTCATTATAGAAAAAAAATGAGAGAGAATTTCTCACCCTTCTTCAAAAAACAGGGTGAGATTTCTAAAAATTAAAAAAACACAAATAGATTACAATACAAATAGAAAAACACAAATAGATAAAAATTATTTCTTTAATTATAATATTTAACATCTTCTATTTTTTTAAAAATTGAATATTTTTGTTGCATCATCATATGGAAAATGTTCTATATCTACTTTTTCATCAGCTATTCTCATTAGGTTGCTCAAATGCTCATCAGTCAATCTGTTACGATATTTTGTTTTAATTCGGTTTTGGGTGCTAAATGGCCTTGCGCTGAACTATTCTGAATCACCAATTAAATTTGTAGCATTGTGCACACAATTTCCTATCCTCTACATCTGCCAGCACAGGCTTTTCAATTATTTCTGTTACAGAATAATGAAGTTCGTTTAAGTGATTTCCGTGTTCATACTTCTTAGGCCTCCCAGCATAGTTTTCACAGACTTCAACTTCTCAAATTGCTGTAAATTGTCGATGAAGGACTACTTAGGTACCTATAAATTAAGCAATAAATTCCCTGCTTTATTACCAAAAAATCATAGTTGGCAATGCAGATAACTCAAATGAAATTTTATTCCACATAAAACGAAACTTTTTTTCTTCTTCATATTGACATTTTGAACTTAATACAACCAATAAAAATAAAAGCTATTGATACTTACTGAACTAAAAGTAACAGCTGTAGCCTGAGCAGCAATATTAGTACCTTTTTTAGTATTTTTAAATCCTTCAACGCCCTGAAATGAGATGAAGAGAGTGAATAGGAGTGATATATTAGTAGTAATAAACAAAATTTTAGAGCAAATAATTTAACTTCAGACAAGAATAAAAATTCTTAAAAGAAACAAAATTATTTCGGCTAATTGATTGCTGTGTAGACAAATGACTTTTTGAAATACATAATTCCTTTTGAAATATATAATTTTAAACACAAGCTACCTCTACCAGTAAATAGGGAAGTTCAGATAGTTGTATGCTAATTCACTGAGATTTGATAAAATCACAATCTAAATTATATTAAGTAGTAAAAAAACACAGCATAACAGAATACCATTAACTATATTTTGTTCTAAGAAAATCAAATATTTGTAATTGTATTTACATTCTTTCATAAATCTGAGAAATAAAATTGTATAGTTTTTTAAAAGCACAAGCTTAAAATTAGATATAAAAAATATTATAATACTGTAATAACAAATCTGTAGACTATTATATAAATTTTCCAAAAAACTAACTACAAACAGCTAGCTTTTTAACATAAAAGAAAAATTAATATATTAAAAGCTCAAACACAATCAATTACAAACACAATCAAGAGCTCTATCTTTAAAATCAAAACAGCCCTAACAGTCACATGGAGACAATGTAAAAATATTTAATTTGAAACTGAACTCAGCAATCCATATGATAAATCCATATTTCAAGTATCTAAATAATTTTAACAGAAAAAACATTCATACAGAATAAATTAAATCCAAACTTTTGTCTCAATAATTGCTACCAGAATAAATACATCATTCCAGACAAATTAGTTCTGATTAATATCATCATTCATGTTACAATAACAGCAGACAGATCCAGACTCATTGGTGAAAAGTTATTCAGATAAATTATGCATAGCACAGATAAAATGTGCATATCACTCTGTGAATTATTATAATTTTTTTTCCTGCTAATATTATACAAGTTTCTGCATAACTCCTTTGCTAACAAATCGCTGTGGTATGTGCCAATGGAAATTTCTTTACAAAAACTAATTTCTGAAAACTTCAAAAGAGACTATCATAGTAGATTTTTTTTTTTTAATTTTGAAATCTCAGATAAAATTATTTACAATGCCTGCTGCGGTGCTGGAGGATTTCTGCTACCACGTTTATAAGAAATACTTTCAATTTGGTCTTATTTTTGTGACTTTAAAGAAATGTGATATACAATATTGATGACATATTCACATTATCAACATAAAATACACATGGTCAAAGCCATAATTACAGACATGGGATCAGACACTTTCTTTTCGGCTTTTTAACTTTCATAAATAAATATTTAGATAACTTCCCAAATTTTACAATGTAGCAACTTATCTCCCAATTAAAAATAATGTAAACTATTAATTTGCTATAGGAGAAAAACATTTTAATTAATAAAATGTCAGAAAAAACCAAGACAAAAAAAAAAGCATGATTACTGTTGTATTAATATGACCAATTGTTCTGAAATGGTACGTAACTCAGGTTCAAAAATTTTATAAAAGACTTAATTTAAGGACACGACATAATAAAATTTAAAACACTGTTCTTAACAAGCATTTAACAGCAAAACAGCTTTTTAAACGTAGCATTATTTTACTATTCATAAAATAATAAATTATTTAAATATATTAGTTCTATTTTGTTTTTTCATGAAATTATAACTTTCTCTAGCTTTAGTGAAAAAAAAATTTTTTTGCTAAAATTTCAAAAATAGTAAAGAGACATGACATTTGTCTGCTATTCATAGAATTGTGCACACATATATTTAATACATATTTTAATCACATTATGTATATTTTATGTACAATCACATTAGGTATATTTTTGATATATTCATGAGTTGACACTTATCACAGAAATTAAAAATTTCTTTAGAACATAATATAACTTATAATACATTACCAATCAAAATTTTGAAAATAAAATAAACAGTAAAATAATAATTAAAATAAAATAGGGAAAGAATGTAATAATTTAAGACCTTTGTATTATTTATAGACACGAGAATTCATAAAATAAATTGTCAGAAACTTTGATAAAAATTATTTGCTAACATATTAATTTCAATAACAAATATACTTACACAACTTCTTACTTCCTTTGTACCACCTGAAAAACAAAAAATATATGTTTAGTTAATGAAAATCCAATTATAAATCAGATTTATTAAACAATCACTACATATAAACATTACCTTAACACATTCATGCAACAAGTTCAAAAGAATAGGAATAGTATCTCATAATTCCATTTGCTTTGCCAGCTGAGCCTTCATTTTTCCAGGATCTCTAAAAAGGAATCAGATATGAAAAGAAATATTTTAAAATATGCATGAATGTGTTAAAAGTTTTACTATATATGCATGGCTTAAAACAAACACAATCAATGCCAAAATTTCAAAAAGATATATTAGAAGGGGTCTATCCAGCTCGAATTGACTACCGTTTGACAGCGCCTTCACAAATTCAACTTTAGGAAAAATGGTAGTTTCACAAAATACTTTTTCTGAAAATTTTATTTTTGTATCCCTTAAGAAATGATAAATCCATAATTTTGCATTGATTTTTTAATATAATTTTTCACAAATTATGTCTAAATTTCAGAAAATAGGTACCTCTCAGAAAAACCTAGACAGACCCCTGAGAGAGTAGTATTTTGCTAACTTAATGTTTTTATCAATTTATTTAATTAATAATTAGAACGTTTTATCATGCATTGACATCTTGTATTAGGCCACAATTACATAATTATACATTATTAAAACTAGAAAAAAGAATTTTTTATACATATTTCACTTACCAAAATAACAACAGATTAAATTTTAAAATTTAAAAAAAAAAAAAAAAAACTTTATATTTTATAAATTTATTATAATATTTTTTACTCTAGAATATGAGTTACAATTAATTTTTTTTCGTTTGTTGAACTTCTAATGAGTAAGCTTCTTTTAACGAAATCCTGACGGTATAAAACAAAATATTAAAAGAGGTATGAACATAAAAACATTTAAAAAATTATTTTAAAACTATTTACAGTGAAAAAGACTTAAATATTGTAGGATAAATTTAATATGAAAGATAAAATATTTAATATTATGAATGTGTTCCTAGTTCACCCAAATGCTGAAAATTAATAAAATTAGATAATGGTTTTAAAAAAAACTTATAATAGTTTGGAATAAACTATCTGAGAAATGTAATTCCTTATTCTTGAATTCTGTTCCTGACTTGAAATACTTCTTAAATTTTCATAAAAACATATACTTTTCATAATTTATAAAGTATTTTATCATTGAAAAAAATTTTTTTTTGAATTTGCTACTTTTTTATTAATAAGCATTTTACATAAATACTTTTCGAGGAATATTCAGATAAACAGAAATTTTACATAAATAGATAGATTATATATTGAATATAAGTCTTAACACAAGTTGAAAAAAAAAATTCTCTTTCTAAATTCTTGCAATCCTTCCATAGAACACTTTTTGAGAACCACTGATCTAGAAAGTAATTTTTCTTTCCATATTCACTTAGGAAAAGTTGCGTTCATTTGCTCAAGAATTAAGTCTTTTACACTTACTGTGAAGAAAGTTTTTAAATACCCCAAACAATTTTTTGACTCTCCATTGATAAACCAAAAGAAATAACTCAAATTAGATTGTTGAAATAAAAACATAAAAAAACAATTTTTGTCTAATTAAACCATTTTCAAAAATGAAAAAACATTTATAAGTTAATTTTTCAAATTCGAAAAATAAACAGTTTGTTAAAATTAAAAAAGGAATAATTTTTGCTCTATGTCTTAAAAATACTTTCCACTGTTAAATGATCTGCATTCAATTTATCAATTTTGTCAACAATTCAATTTAAATCTATCAATCATAGTTTCCAACATAAAAAAAATAAGCTATTTTCATGTTGCAATAATATTCAATAAAATTTAAAATATAAAAAAAATACAAATATTTAATTTCAAAATAATTATAAAATCTGCAAAAAAAAATTTTCTTAATTTTCTTAAAGCAAAGATAAAATGTCTTAATTCAAATATTTCTATTAGTGTTTAATTTTTCTCAATATAACAAAAAAATTACAAAAATTCAACTTTTTTACTTTTTTTCCAGATCTCAATATTTTTATGACATTACATACCAATTTTAAAGAACCACTCAGTTAATTTGCAAAAATCATTATTAAGGCTGCATTAAGTTAAGAGGGCAAAACTTACATTAATCTTTAGACATGATTCATGCTTTTTCAAAAGTATGAAATAAGGCATAACAAAATAAATAATACAATAATCTTAATTAAAATTTAATACACTTTATCATTCCATTTGGTTAATATCATTACTTTAATTAACAAGAATACATTGAAATTTTTAATTGATTTAGTTATGAAGTTTAAATTAATTATTAAAATTTTTTAGCAGTGATAAATCAAAATTTTAAAAAAGTGGTTTTAAAACTAAATTGATATTAAAACCGTGAAAAATTTACAAAATGCTACTTAAAATTTAATGATTTCAGTGAACATACATTAAAATGTATATTCAAGAATTAAAAAACTTAAAATTCTCAGTATTTTCATCAAACTTCTAAAATAAATTGTAACTCATGATTAGAGTTTGAAATAGATATTAAAATTTAATGGTCTATTAGGACAAAAAATTGATATGGTAGACAAACTTGAGAAAAGAACTTTACAATTACAATTCCCATGTTATGGTTATGGTACAAATCAAAAATTGTTTATTGCCATCTAAAACTAACTAGGTTCATTAGCCCAGAAGGATTGAAGATCGGAAAATAAATTCAAGGATAAAAAGCTACATCATAAATAAGAAAAAAAACTGAGACCAAATAAATAAATGAAGAAAACAAAGAAAGAACTAACAAAATTTACTAAAAATTAATTATCAAAATATTATAAAACTAAAATAAAGTCACTCCAAAAGAGCAAAAAAATATTTTATTATTGAATAATTTCACTGCCAGTACATGAATGCAAAACACAAAACATGTAAATTTGAAATTTAAACATTAAAATTTTAAAAAAAAATTGTGTCATTCCAATTGATAAAACATGCAATTGAATTCCACTCCAAGCAGAGCACTAATATTAGTACAACAAATATTATATCCATGGAATTCAATGTATAAAACTAATTTTAGTTAATATTTTCTTAATCGCAAAATTTCAAGAAGACAAATTTGTCACCCTTGAGTGTGATTTCAGCGCCATTAGGAAAATATTTGACAACAAATTTTGCCATGTTGCTCTGCAGGCGTGAACCCTACTCATAATACCGTTAGAAAATATATAATTAAGTTTGATTGCCTAAAAGTAATAAATTAAAAATTTTGATTGAATTTCATAACTTTTTTTTAACTAGATAAATACTTATTTCTCAATAATCAGCACAGATAACTAACTGTTTGTATATTAACATAAATATGTATACTTTGAGATTATATTTCCTAAGCTTTGACCATAATATTGAATAAATGAGCACTGAATACTAAAAATATATTACCAATTGCATCAGTCAACATAAATATAGTGTTGTTTTTGGAGACTCTAATATGCACAATTGGAAGATCTGCAAATTTAATGCCATTGAAAAGAACATTATTGGTATTTTCATCTGGGAAGTCACATTTCCTAAAAGAAATGTTTTCTACATTAGTATAAATAAAATACAGAAAACATACCATAAAAGTGCATAATACATATTACTAACATTATATTAACATTAAATGCAGTAGCTATATATTAATTATCAAATTTAGGAGTTAAAATTTGATTAGGTTTTCTAAATTAAATTTATCACATTAAATTTACAAAACAATTATGAAGCCTTAACATCAAGTTTTATCAAGAACTTTTTTTCCAAATCAGCAGCCATTTACAAATATTAAGAATCTTTTTAAGAGGACAAGATAAAAGCAGAGAAAGTAATAAACATATGATGCAGATATTCTAAGAGGGTAACAATACTTTCCATTACTGTCAAATAGGAATTTTACATAATAATTCAGATATTATAAAATAATGCTAATATAACTTCAACATAATTACTAGAAAATTAACAATTATATATCTGTATAATCTATGCTATAAAAAAATAAAATAATCAACTTTATCAAACAAAAAATTAAAAAATTATAAAAATTTAAGAGGCATTTAAAATAAAAAATTATAAGTAATCAAAGTTTGTGGAATAAAGCAAAATAATTTTAACTTGATTAAATTAATAATTTGCACATGCATTTCTATATTAGCACAATACAGAAATTCAATAGTGGTATATTAGGCAGCCTACACATTTGCATTGTTTAAGTTATTGACAAACAAGTAATATTTTATGAAATAGTTAAATTTAAGTTATATAACTAACTTCACAAGACTAAATACAAACAAGAAGTACAAAATATATATTTATACTAATTAGGAATTAACAGGTCTCAAATACCCTTTAAAAAATTCAGTCAATTTTAAAACCACCAAAAGAAAATTTAAAAAAAAAAAAATGATGGAAGCTTCCAACTTAAGAAATACATGTTTCAAGTAAACAGACCTATCTGTCAATACTCGTAGTCGTCATTAATAAAACATAGGACAAGCTGGTAAAAATTATAGAACAAAAAATTATTTGTAAGAATTTAGGTGCTGAAGAAATCGTCCAATTAAGGATATTAAAATTAAAATGTATCTTTAACTACTAATCCATTTAATGTAGCTACAAACAAAAACAGAAAAAACGAAAATAGATATATACACTAAAATGTTGCAAGGCATAAAAGTAAAGAAAAAGAGACACGTATACAGTTTCAGATAGCTATTTAAGCCATAGGGCCAATTTTTAACTCTATAATGCTAAAAACTACACTAAATACAAAATTTAATGTTTTAAGTACATATAATTATTTAACTACCAATTAAACGTATGAACAATAAATTAAACGTAGTAAATTGAAAAAATTTGCAGCAATCGATTTATTTGGGCACATAAGTTGCAAAATGGCGCAAGGTTAAGTTAAGAAAGAATACTAAAAATCGTAATAAATATGAATCAGAACTTACAGTAATTTTAGCGCAAATATGAGATTTATGTTCAAAAACTAAAGTTGGATAAATATGCAGCTGAAATTGAGAAAGCAATATGAAATATGTGATTTTAAACCACGTAAATACAAAATGGCTACTCTGATCATATAACAAGAAATGAAATGGCGTACTTGATCCAGGCAGGTTCAATGTCGAAAGTTTTCTCTTGAGGAACAGTATTTTCCTTGATAACTATATTCTGTCGCTTATTTTTCCGAAAATCTCTACATAAAGAGGACGATTCAAATATATTTCTGTGAAAATTTAAATTAAGGTTATTTTTTAAAGCTAAATTAATGGCTCCTAGTATACTCTTGGCCATCTTGAACGTTCGAAACGAGAACGAGAAATGAAAAAGGATGTTGTGATGTGATATGACGTTGTACGTCTACACTGGAATTTAGTTTCGGTTTACAGTTAAATGGAAAATATTGACCCGAGGCATTTTTCATACTAAAGCAACCTTATTTCTGTATTGCAAACAAATAAAACAGTGAAATATTTCTGGGAAGAATTTCATAAAAAGTGAAACATTTTTGTATCTTAAAAGCAGAAGACTCATTTTCCCTACAAGTAGTGAAATTTTAAGAATCACTACTGGCCTAAGGAAAATTTCCTTTGTTTTTATTTATTTATTTTTTTCAGCTGAGCCGTTTTTTTCAGCCTGAGCCAATCATCCATTTCGGAGCAGAAGCTTTTCCAGCAATAATGAAGAGCTGCAAGATTTGGCAACTTATCGCTACAAACGACGTTAACCTCAACTATAGAATAATCAGTAAAGAAAAGCGTGCATCGATTAACATTGCTTTTCGGAAACTTTTTTTTATACTTATACAAATTCACAGAGAATTTTATTAGCGATTAAAAATGTTAAATAAAAAATTGTATATGTGCTACATGCCAATTACATCAATCTTTTTTTTAATGATTTCAAAGTGAATTTTTTACTAACTTTTATGTTTCTTTTAGATCTGGGTTTTTCTGATTTCTTTTCAGGTTCTTTTTTTAACAAAATTAAAATAGAAAAAAAAAACATGTTTTGATCTGAAATATATTTAAGTATGTTTTCATAATAAAAATAATTAAATTTATAATACAATATTTTAAATGTAAATGTCTACAATCATGAGAAGTAATAAGCTTTGTTTCAAAATCAAGAATTAATTTGAAATTAGTTTTTTCAGTTGAAACTTATGGGGAGGGTAAGAAACGACATTTGATAAATTTTTAAATAATTTATTTAATTACACATCTTATTTCAAATCACATTTTCATAACATTTACTTAAATAAGTACTTATATAAGTACTTATTTATTATAAATTTTATTCCTTATTTATGTATTACGTAATACATAAATAAGGAATAAAATTTTTTTAAAAAATATATCTGCATATCATTCTAGGTAGAAATAGTTTTTGCACATTTTCGGTTCTTTAATAATAAAATAATAATAATAATTAAACAAATGGAGTCGAATTAAGAAATTTATACTTGCATTAGATATAAGCTTATCTAAAATTGATCCAGGTTTGGGACAGCCTATTACTTTCAAATTTTTTTGAAGAATTTTTATGGAGTTTAGAACATTGAAAATCGTTGGAATAGCATCAGGTCTTAATTTATTGTTACCATCTTTTCTATTTATTTCCAGTTGAGATTCTTCAAAATGAACCTACAAAAATAGTTAGAATACTTTATTTTTATACTTAAGATAAATCACATTAAAAAAATTTAGCGTTTAGAATTTTTAAACATACTGCCATGAAATTTTCTCTCACAGAAATTAATAATGTCAGCAATTTAACACAAGAATTACAAACAAAAAGAAACATTGGAGATCAAACAAGAAAGATCACATACGAAATAGATTTCTTATGATAAATGTAAGCAAATCGCTTGAACTTTAGGTGATATATTACCATAAATAACTAAAAAATAAACTTAAATTACCCAAGATTAAGAAAGTAGCTGCTTGATCTTTGTGTAATAAAAAGGAATACAGTAAAAAATAAGTAAATATTTGTTTTTGACTAAAAGAAATACTTGAAAGTGAATACAAAACTTGGCGATTTTGAAATAAGTTTGGCGAATACTTCACCCAATCTCTTGCCTTTATATACTGGTTTTATTGCACATAAACACTTAAAATTGTTAAATAAATCAATAAGTGTTGTTTAAAAGTCATATTTTAAATAAATTTATACTTAATAAATGCAATTTTCAATGAAAATTCTTATATTTGGTACATAGTTAAAGCTGTACAGTCCGCAAAAAAAAAAAAAAAGATATCACCCTGAATAACTTTCGTTCTAATGATCGGATTTTCACGAACTAAGTGTCAATCTTAATGGTTCCTGGGGTTGACCTCAAATATGCTAATTATTAATTAAGTTACGAAATCAGACACAAAAACGTACTTTCTCTGAATAAACACATATTTTCTTTACATATTTGGATTTCTTATCTGGGAATCTGGGAAATGTGATCTCTATAGTTTGGCCAGGAGAGAGACTCAAAGTTTGGACCCTTTAATGGTAATTTTACTTCTTACGTATTTCACCTTATCTGGGAAAAATTTTGAAATAAGTTCTATGTCAAACTGATATCTAATCAGTCTTACTTTGTTTAAAGAATTTTCATAGATTGGACAAGCCTAATCACAAGAATAACTATATTTTATTGATAATTAAATATTATTTTATAATATTGCAAGAGTATAATATTGTGCAAGAGTATAATATACTTTTGCGTTTTCAGTCATATTTTAAAAACTAATGAGGTAAATCAAGAAAAAAAAAACTGCACCCACTCATAAAACTCATTTACCCAAAGATAATTTCATGAAAAAAATAATTTTTAATAATTATTAATTATTTTTTATTATTTAATTAAAGTGAGGATGTAAAAATGTTGAATTATAAGGTATGGATTTTTTTATACCACATTAATCTACATATTTTTCAATTGAAAAATCTAAAGTTTCAACTGTTTTTATTCATTAGAAGATGAGAAAAATTTAAATTAATTATTTTAAAAAAAATAATTTGGCGACAGTGAAGAAATTATTAAATGGGGCGATTAATATTAAAATGTGATAAACTTACGAGGAACTCGACTTAGCGCGTGTAAAATTTCATTCATATTTTTTTCGCTAATAATCGTTTGCTAATATTTTTATTTTTTTAAAACTATAAAATACGATGTTTCTTTTTCAGTAGTCTAAAATTCTATTTGCAATTTAGTAAAGAAATTTAAATAAAAAATTTTATTGAATAAAAAACATTTCATTCCACGAATGGCGAGTTTTATAAAAGCGTGCTTCTGATAGAATATGATTATACACAAGATTGTGCTTATTTAATGTGATTATTTTTTAGTTTTTTTCTCAATAACTGATACAATTTCAATAATATACATACGTATGAATAGATTTGGAATAAAATATTTATCAATTTCTTGAATATATTTTTTATAAATATTAATAAAAATACGTAGTAAACATATTTAAGCATATCTCACAACACAACATCGCAAATTTCTCAACATGTTATATATTGTCTTAATCTTAAAAGTAATTTTTAATCACCTGTCCGGAAGTGTTTCGCAGAACTATTTTACCAATTATTTAATTAAATATTAACATTTTTAAAAATCTTATTCTTTACCCTACTACGTTTATTATTTCTGCATTTTCATTAATATACTAATGAATTTTTTTAGTAC